ATCTAAAAAATTCTAAAGAGCCTATTCCTAGAAGAAAATCAAGAAAGAGAACTCGGCCTCTCACTTCCATCAACTGAAACGCGTTGTGACATCGTAATTTATGGGATGGGTTCGTTGCGCACGGCATTGCAGTGGACAGGACCCGTTTAAAGCAACAGTCAGGAACTGTTTCCCGCGGAAAAATCACCATGAAGTTGTAGATGAAAACCAGTCGATTAATATTAACTCCGTTGCAAAACTATACGACATAGCATTTTTTTTCACAGGAATTTTATTTCAGTACACGTTTCCACAACAATTGTAAACCATATAGCAGTATGTGATAGGTCAATAGTCAACAGGTCCGCCATGATGTGCTATCACGTCGAACAGCCGATTTGGCATGCTCTCAATCAACTTCTTCAGAACCTCCTTCTGTATCAGTGCCCATTCCTCGAGTATCGCCTTTTGTAAGAGAGCCACTGTCTCGTACTGTTTTCCCCGAGCGTAGATTCGACGCGCGAGGATGCCCCACAGATTTTCCATCGGATTCAGATCGGGGGAACATGCAGGCCAATCCAGTAAATCGATGTGATGAGCCTCGAACCAATCCAGAGTTGATCTGCTAACGTGTATGGCAGCGTTGTCTTGCTGAAAAATGAGACGGAGTTGGTAAATCCTTGTAATCCTATTTACACGGTACTGAGGCGTTTGTGCGTCTCAGTAGGTCTCATCCAGTAAAAAAAGGGGATGTGGTGCATAGTTCATATTGCATCAGGTAGTCCAGTATTCTATTATAATTTTACGCAGGATAGGAACCTTCGGAGCGAGTGAAAAATCGTAAGCGAGTTTAGTTCACGGGCTCTGAAAAGTAAAGCTGTGCTTGTGATTATTACCAACAACGCTAAGGAATGCGAATACGTACCCTCTATTTCGGAATACGAGAAGAGCGTCGAGTGCAGACCACACACCACAAGTGACGACGGCCAAGAAAAAAGAAAAGAAAAGCCACTTTTCTTGCCGTCGTCACTTGTGGTGTGTGGTCTGCACTCGACGCTCTTCTCGTCTTCCGAAATAGAGGGTAAACGTATGCACATACGATGCGAAAATTCGTAAGCAGCAATTAATAGTGTTGTGCTACCGAAGAACAACACAGCCAATCACGCGGTCCACGGCTCACAACTGGGTAGACGACACAAAAAGGCGAAGCGCACGAAGTTAACACTTGACTGAATGAATCCAATTCGAGCTGACCCTCTAGATTGCATTTGATGGAAAAAGATGTGTTTGCTTTCGTTCAGAACATCATCAAATGATAGGCGTAATTTAGTTGAACGAAGTTTTATTGTTGGGATCCAGAAACTCGCCTGGCTTGACAGGCAACACCGAGCATTTGTACGATAAAGAGGAAATTCAGTGCAGATGTTACGCTCCTTACACTCTCGCAGGCACGGTCGCGACCGAATTGATGTGTTACTTCGCGAGAAAATGAAAAATGTGTGCGAAGAGGAGTCAATGAGAGAAAAGCAAAAGGAATTATGGAAAACACCGAAATTGAAGGCCTCCTTATTATAATGTCGAACGGAAAGTCGGAGAGACGCAGTGCTGCGAGGAGAGGGAAAACGCGAAACAGAACGTCGTGCGAGAAGGCCAAAAGCCAAGTATGCTGCCAATAATAATAATGGCAGCGGCCAAGGGAAGGCATTGCCGGCTATGTGACGCATCTTTATGTTGCGACAATGCCAAGACTCCTGTGCTTAAAGACAATGCTGCCTCACTCACGGAGAGAATTCTCAGGGATCTAATTGTGACCCATGCCATCAAAGTGAATATTGCCGAGGCTATGAGTTCGGGGTATTCTACACAAAACTGTAGGTCATCGAACACTGCAACCTTGATCTTGGCAGTTACCGAGGGCTGTAAGGTGTCTTTCCTCATAGAAGCCGTATGCAGCAGTCCCCATCCTCCGTCAAGGACGAGATTGACTATGGCGGGGGCGGGATCTCCGGCCGGGGACTGCTGTACGGTCCCTGCTGTTTGAGCATCCTATAGGTGATCACGCCGCTGTGATTGTCGGGAAGATAGAAACACAGAGGTGAGTCCTAAGTCGCTACTCTGCTTCCCACAACCTTGGGATACTATCAGAGTATTGGGCTGGTCTTGCTGGGGAAGAGGAAGCGAATATACGGTCCAGGCCTAGACTTAAGATCTGGCAATTTGCGAAGTTTTGAGCGCCATCAACACTGCTGTCTGTCTCCCTTGTTGAGCCCCTTGAGCATACATGTAGACGTTCTATGGAGGATGCCCGAAATCCGATCTCGCCTGTTTCCCTAACGGGGCAAGTACCCTTTTGTGGCTAAAGGCTCGTCAGGCAATTTTCAACCTTCCGTCAGGAAATCGTGTTTCACGCAATCTGCTCTCTCGGACTTCCATTAGTTCCGCGTTCTTAAGCACTATTCTCGTTCTTCCCAAATCTTGCCGTGTTTAACTGTGTGATCGCCGGCGCAACACCGTTCACTGTAGGATGCATTATGCCAACCATCCATCAGCGAGAATATGTACATACCAGAATAATGCCATATACATACCATACATAATATAAAATAATAAATAATACAGATTTCGAAATATATGGCACCACGAGACGAGTAGAGCTCATTCGTTTACTGACGTCAACTAACACAGGGCGTGAGCTACTGCTCCGCATCGGTGGAATCATCGGTGAGTTAAGTTCTTCATCACTGAGTGCTCCGTAGTATTCTCGACGTTCTCTGACGTCGAGAATACTGTAAGCGGTTGATCGAGTAGCTAACGAATCAAAAGCTTCAGACTATCTCCAGGCCTCTGAAGAAGACGAAGCGGTCGAAACGTCAGGCCAGTAAATAAAGATTCCATCTTAAAAACCTCGTTTGGCATACAGTACAAAAACAATTGCAGTACATTCAACATCAAATGCCGAGGTTCCAAGAAAGGACGACATGGAGAATTTTTGGTATTTAGTTTGGATTGTCAATAATTATATTAACCGTCACCAACAAATGAAGGAAGGGGTGTCTTCGCGGAAGCACAGCAACTTTTTCGAAGTAGTTCATGCATCAGAACCTCTAGAATATATATAGCTATGGAAGCCGCAACACAACACTGACCGTAAGCGTCAGTTTGATTTGAATATGACCCCCCTCGCTGGCTTGTGGGAGCTTACGAAGGTTGTTTATTGGTGGACCAAATGCATCTGCCAGAATTAAAGTAGCCGGTAAGAATTGAGGCAGCAGAACATATTGAACAAATAGAAACGAGAAATATTCAGCACCTGAACGACAGCAATGGGGTCCTATAGAGTGAGAAAGGTCGCCAAAATGATATGAACGATGCGCCGTTTATTTCTTGCAATTAAGATCATTAAGAAGAATGATTTTTGTTCACTAGGTCCCGATGCTCTCGCCTCCTTTAGAGCCCGAAGATGGCTCTATCCACAAGCTTTTGATCGAGCCA